ATCATACAATGTGATTTTCAGGATTTTTGTTTTAGATTCCGTCTCTCACAGTTGAAGTGTACATATGATAAAAATTACAGACCTCTACATGCTTTGTAAGTAGGAAAACCTGCAAAATCGGCAGTGTATCAAATACTTGTTCTCCCCACTGTATATCAGGCATGAGAACTATTCAGATCTTCTGTAATTATACAACGTGAAATTCAACACCTGTTACACAGCCATGACAGCAGATGGTGCAGAAAAGGGAGATGACCCATGTTCCCTGAGCTGCCTCGCTTCCCAGGGGAAGCAATTATTTGGCTAAATGGGTGAAGTTAACACTTTTCCTCCTTTTAAGGTAGGGTTATTTGAGGGAAATGTAGTTTGTATGTTGTTAAGAAATAGCTGTTATGTTAAAATAACAGGTCTACAAATGTAATGTTGACCCAACAAGCACAACAACTACTAATGTATTCCTCATTATGGCATTGAGCTTGTTCTTATGACTTTGCATTTATGTTATTTCTCGTCTTTCAGTGGTGGAATGCCATCTAACAGAATAACGACTGACTTTTCGAAATCGGCCAGTGATGGTGATTTAAGTCTTGAAATTACACGTCATCATATCTTTTAAGTAAATTGTGCAAAGCTAAGCTCAACTTTTCAAACTAATTTATTTCACTGAACTGACTGAACTTTATGGGCCTGTGATTATAACCTATAAGTGCTGAATTACTGGCATAAAATAAATGAGAAACATTAGATGACACAGTTTAGGGTATTTATGAAGTCCTGTGTTTGAGTCTTCAGTGGGTTAGCTTTCTTTTCACAGACTGGCTAACATTTAATTGATTGAATGTTCTTTTCATGCTCACATCTTGTCTTTTATTTTTAGGTGAAACTATTTGGGGCGTTACAAATATAGCATGGTTAATGGAGCCATTCCAGAGTCCCCATGCGATTGACAGACAGGTGCATCGAGTCAAATGCCAGCAAAGTCTTCAAAAGTTCAAATTCTAGCGATGCAAGGTGGTTGGTCAGGCATTCAGGATTGAATTGTTTTAGGCTGACTGATCTATTGATCAAGGTTAGTGTCTAGTTTACATGTTCGGCACTTCTGAAGTTTGTCAATGAAAAGTAGCAAATGTCACCCCAGGACTCCATATCAGTGTTTCCCCTGTATTAATTTATCAGTGGTGGCCCACCACTGCTAAATTGTTGCTGCAAAAAAATATGTTTAAAATATATATATATATATATTTTTGCTGAGACGTGCTTTTAAATAGATAGTCGTTGGGTCAATGACTGTAGGTCTATGGGAACAGCTAGCATGTCATAGCGCTTACGCTAGCACCAATGCCCCCCCCCCCCCCTTGCTACCACTGCTGAAAAAAATCCTAGGGGAAACACTGCACATCAAAGAGACAAACTTGTGAAATGATTGAAATGTCCCCCTGTTGTCTAGTGCTGACTGCTGACAGGCCTTCAAATAAAATAACTTTACCACTGGAAAAAAAAATCCCACATGTTGGAGTTAATGTGTGCAGCCATCTTCTGGGTCAAACCAATCATAGGAGAGATTAGTCTAGGTCAGACACACGGAACACTCGCCTGCCGGGAAGTGGAATCGATCGAAAAATATGGGGATGAATTTCATTGGAGCTATGAAATTGAGGTATGAAATGTATCCCCTGCTGTGAGTAAATATTACACTACACCTAAAAACAGAATCTTGATGGCTTTTACATCTGAAAATACTCATTCTACGTGATTTGATTGGCTCTATGTTAAATATTCACACAGTAATATGCACTCCCAGAACATATGACTCAACTCTGTCACTACGCTGTAATGGTTCATTATCTGTTAAATGTTGGGGGAAATATAATTCTGGTCAGTACACTCAAGGTAAATACAGTACCTATATGCTAATGTGAACATTGCTGATAGACAGCCTGTCCTTCAGCAAAGTGTAATGATGGATACAATGTGAGGTACAGTTGAAGTTCGAAGTTTACATACACTTAGGTTGGAGTCATTAAAACTCGTTTTTCAACCACTCCACAAATTTCTTGTTAACAAACTATAGTTTTGGCAAGTAGGTTAGGACATCTACTTTCTGCATGACACAAGTAATTTTTCCAACAATTGTTTACAGACAGATTATTTCACTTATAATTCACTGTATCACAATTCCAGTAGGTCAGAAGTTTACATACACTAAGTTGACTGTGCCTTTAAACAGCTTGGGAAATTCCAGAAAATGATGTCATGACTTTAGAAGCTTCTGATAGGCTAATTTACTTAATTTGAGCCAATTGGAGGTGTACCTGTGGATGTATTTCAAGGCCTACCTTCAAACTCAGTGCCTCTGCTTGACATTATGGGAAAATCAAAAGAAATCAGCAAAGATTTTTTTTAGACCTCCACAAGTCTGGTTCATCCTTGGGAGCAATTTCCAAACGCCTGAAGGTACCACGTTCATCTGTACAAACAATAGTACGCAAGTATAAACTCCATGGGACCACGCAGCCGTCATACCGCTCAGAAAGGAGACGCGTTCTGTCTCCTAGAGATAAATGTACTTTGGTGCGAAAAGTGCAAATCAACCCCAGAACAACAGCAAATGACCTTGTGAAGATGCTGGAGGAAACGGGTACAAAAGTATCTATATCCACAGTAAAACGAGTCCTATATCGACATAACCTGAAAGGCCGCTCAGCAAGGAAGAAGCCACTGCTCCAAAACCGCCATAAAAAAAACCAGACTACGGTTTGCAACTGCACATGGGGACAAAGATCGTACTTTTTGGAGAAATGTCCTCTGGTCTGATGAAACAAAAATAGAACTGTTTGGCCATAATGACCATCGTTATGTTTGGAGGAAAAAGGGGAAGGCTTGCAAGCCGAAGAACGCCATCCCAACCGTGAAGCACGGGGGTGGCAGCATCATGCTGTGGGGGTGCTTTGCTGCAGGAGGGACTGGTGCACTTCACAAAATAGATGGCATCATGAGGAAGGAAAATTATGTGGATATATTGAAGCAACATCTCAAGACATCAGTCAAGAAGTTAAAGCTTGGTGGCAAATGGGTGTTCCAAATGGACATTGACCCCAAGCATACTTCCAAAGTTGTGGCAAAATGGATTAAGGACAACAAAGTCACGGTATTGGAGTGGCCATCACAAAGCCCTGACCTCAAGCCTACAGAACATTTGTGGGCAGAACTGAAAAAGCATGTGCGAGCAAGGAGGCCTACAAACCTGACTCAGTTACACCAGCTCTGTCAGGAGGAATGGGCCAAAATTCACCCAACTTATTGTGGGAAGCTTGTGGAAGGCTCCCCGAAATGTTTGACCCAAGTTAAACAATTTTAAAGGCAATGCTACCGAATACTAATTGAGTGTATGTAAACTCCTGACCCACTGGGAATGTGATGAAAGTAATAAAAGCTGAAATAAGTAATTCTCTCTACTATTATTCTGACATTTTCACATTCTTAAAATAAAGTGGTGATCCTAACTGACCTAAGACAATATTTACTAGGATTAAATGTCAGGAATTGTGAAAAACTGAGTTTAAATGTATTTGGCTAAGGTGTATGTAAACTTCCGACTTCAACTGTATGTTACACTGACCTCTGCAGTGCTTGCTGCCTTGCTTATATTGGCCTAGCTTCAGCCCCACTAACAATGTTACACTGATGCCTCCGACATCCCATTTCTTCCACATAGAAAACCTAAGGCTCTACTGTCTCCTACCATTCCCCTTGGGAATATTGTTCTGCTTGTCACATTCATCAGTGACAGGGGGCCTAATGGAGACCCCCACTATGGATAGAGGAGAGGGAAGAGACCTGTGTAAGGTGTGTAGAGTGAACCATGGAGGCGAAAGGGTCTTTGATGAATGGTGGCCGGGATGTAAGAGAAATAAATAACTATAGGTTAATGTTTTCTCCTATAGGTTAATGCACTCAAACCATAAAAAGGAAAAACAATATACCTAATTGAATCCCATGCTTATGGAATACACAAGTGCTAGTGCAAAGTGCCATAAGTGCTCAACAAAAAAAGAGGCCTTGGAATGAATGCATGATCAGTTGGCTGCAGTGGAGAGAGGGTGGAGGGGGGAGTGAGTGGACAACTACAGGAGATTGTCAGGTTGAGAAAAGCAGTGGTGCTGTTATTTAGAGGACAAATGTATTGCATCTGAAATTGCCTCACCTGAAAAGCACATTGAGATTTAGTCTACAGTAGTTTTTTCCTTATCTTTTACGTACTTTAAACACACAACTTTAGTCCATTCATTTCAGATGTGGTTTGTGGCTTGAAAATGAAAACATTTCTGTTGGAGGATCTCCTCAGGTGCTTGTTGCAACATTGTGCATCACATACATCTTTAGGAATTGTTTCGTCATCATTCTTTCGACTTTGCTCTAGGCTTTGCGAGCTGTCACTTTGGTTTCCCTTCACTATCACACAAAGCTCAGCTTTGAGCAGTAAATCATGTTGTTCAAGAGAATGTGACATTTCCATAGTAAACACATTTTAATTATCCTGGATGATGGCCTATTACATTATTTATCAAATGAGTGAAATTTACTTTCATGGAAGTGAATTTACACAAATAATCTACGATAATTATGCTGTTATTTCTGTGCAGTAGGCTAGGAATGTTGTATACAAAATCCAGATTGTGAAATCCAAGAAATTAATGGAGCTTGTTTAGTAGCCTGAACGATCATCTGATTAGAAGCTGAGGTCAATATCATTTTAGTATTGATGTGCACGCGTTTTTGCCTTGCATAATAACAGCGCAGAGCTGGCTTCAGTCATTTCGAAATTCACAAGGAAAAAGGACCATCCCTCCACTGACGCGCGTGCTGCTGTGCTATTGCCCAGTGCGTGCAGATTGTTCTCGGGTTTGATGGCTTCGGGGAAATTTAATTTCTGCTTTTCAAGCTCAGTTCGGTGTTTCGGACTTACTAAAGAAGCTTTCCAGTTATTATTTGACACGTCTGCTGCAGACCTCTGACTTCTTCCCAATAACTTGAAGAGGTGCCAAAGAAGTGCGTGCGGACAACCAAGCAGTGCGCGTTTTCCCTCTGTCTCTCTGAGTCAAGTATTTGGATTTGGCAAATCAAAGTATTTCAACCATTTTTATAGCTGGTTGGTTTTACTTTCTTTCATTTTGTGATATTATATTTTTCTTATTAATAAAAACACTCTTAGCCACTTGCATGGGATTACGACATCTCATCAATGAAGTCCGGCATCAGTTTTAAACAGACCGTTCTCTTTTAGAAGAACAAGCAGGTGACCGACGAATTTAAGATGACAAATTTGATTGTTTTTATTCTGTCATTATCAACGTGTCTGTCTGTGGTAAGTGTGACACAACAGTACTTTTATTTTATATTTCGTTTTTATGCGTGGTGATCAAAATGCGCACAAGGATGCATCTCAGAGAATGGCTTTCTAATAGGCTACTTGAAACTATGAACTATAATTCATATAAAGATATAATAGAAATGTACCTCAAATGTGTGGCATTATGATTGATGCATTTGATAAGAGGCTTTTGTCCATATAGGGTATAGGCAGCTGAACAGTGTACACTACTGTGTTGTAATTTATTACACCATATTGCTCTCTGCAGTCTACAGAAGTTCAGCTCTTGATTCAAGCAGCATTTTTCACAGTCCAAAGAGATATGGGATCATTTCACATAGCTGTAATGAATAGGGTTGTGCTCTTCAAACCATCAAGATCCCATTTTGCCATAATGCTGACATTGGAGTTCCCTCTTCCCTTTTTATCCACTGTACAGGTCAAATTCTAGACTAGGTCATTTAATCTTTCAGCTAACTAGCATCCTCATGATCTACCCCTCAAGGACTGCTCTGAATGGACCATAGATATAGTTAGAGGACACAACATTGTATCTGTCGCATTATGGCGTCTGTGAGAGCATGGGCAGCTCCATTGAGGTAATCTCCATTTTTTTTGTTTTTATACTTCTATAGATGGGTTAGCTGACAATGTCACGAAAATAATGTGCATGCTTCAATGGGGAAGAAGTATGTGTGTTGTTGTGATTCTGGATGGCCAGAATGCTAGCAACAATGACAAGAAGCTGCCATGTGGGGAATTGTAGGTCGCTCGTTTCAGCTAGTTTGATCTTGTTCTTGATACCATGTCTTGTTTTGAGGTGAGTTGACTGATGTCAAGTCTATGCCAATATGGCCAAAATTCACTAGCTAGCTAACCAACAATGTATTTGAGAGACAAGTGCTCATTGTGAAAATGTATTTATGTTTTCAATAAACATTGGAAACGAAATATAGTTTACAATTTGTCAACAATCTAAGCCAACCCCTTCTGTTTTGCCCCATAGTTGAAGACACATCAGTTTTGTTGCTAAACAACCAGCCCGTCTATGAGTTGGTAAAAACAACTGAAATGGTGCATACTGACACCTGGAGTGTGTTGTTTGAACAGGTATAAAGCCAGGTTGTTGAGTTACTGCCACCACAATAGAATGTTAGCACACAAGTATAATTCCTTGGCTGATCCCTCCTGATGACCTGGATGGAATTATGTGATCCTTCCTAAACCCATAGGAAGTCCCACCCAGTTGACTACTTGAAAATGGTGAAAGTCCTCAATGGCGCTGCCCATGCTAAAACCGACTTTTGGGCACTAGAGTCCTCTATCTATCTCTATGGAATTTACCCATTCAATGCTGTGCCTATGTTGGCTTTGCCCCCAATGTGTGGCAGAGTGATCGGGACACAGGTGTGAATGGGGGTCTGGTCCCATAGTGCATCTAATGAGCTTTTACCCATCAGAACAAGAGATAGCAGCTGTTCAGTGTCTGTTTGACGCAGTGTATTCTGATGTAATGATGTGACTCATGTGAGAGTCATTTACCTACAAATACTCTTGCTGTTAACCTCACAACAATACACAAAAAGGTGGAAATTAGAAGCCATATAGATTATATGGCAGAACCCCTCTCACACAAGATGTTAAACTCTGAAAACTGGAGTAAAATAGGACTGTCTGCTGTCTGCATGGTCTAACAGTCTAGACTATTACAGATTTTTCTCAAACCCTATTATAGTGCTTTTTACTTTGCTTGAAGGCACACTTAATATGGGTCACCTGAAACACGCCAGACTTCACCATCTGATTAGGCAAGCAGATCCCAACAGGTTCTTCTCTATAGCACACTGGTAACCTGAGTGCCAGTCTGTTTGTGCTATCATGCTAACAACTTGTCACTCATTGTCATGCTGTTTGGCTTCACAATGACCAATGGTGTTGGCAAAAGCACAAACAGATCTGGGACCAGGCTAGCACACTGGTAGCTAATATGCTGCAATGCACCTCAGGCATGTTCAGTGTCTGTAGCACACAGGTGCTCCTATCTGTTTAAAACATGCTGTAGCGAGACCTCATGCACCCCAGCCTATGCACCTTTTGGTTTGGTATGGTGCCAATGTGCTTGATACAAATAGGGCAAAACTGGAGAGTCTATCATCACATAGTGCTAGAGGGCAGCACTATTTGCCAGTACAAATGAACCCCCTCTCTCAAAATAAGTTGAATATTTTGTGTATTTCTTGTCATTTCTCCTCCACCAATCTGATGAAAGCAGAGTTTTCTCTGGATATTGGATTTAGCAAATCAGCAAATAATCATTAATTTATCACATATTAATATGGGTTATATAGAAATCCAACAAGTACAGTAGCTGCTGAGAATGTTGACGTAATTTGTATGTACACCCCATCTCTCTACAGTGGAGTCATTTCATATAAAAACTTTAGCACTGTATGTTGAGGCACGTACAGAAGCTCTTAATAATATAGCCTGTCTATCTATACAGTATGTATTCATGTTTAATACAACACAGAGTGCTTACTTTGTAATCCATGAAATGGAGGACATATTGTACTGTACAGAAATACCTATCTGAGCATCATTTGAATGTGCTGTCTGTAAGCAGCTACAAAGATCATTTCAAAATCAGACCTAATTTAGTAATAGGCCTTCTCTATTCATTTCTAAATAATTAGCAGACTCTCATGATTATCCTGTACTTCTAAAGATCCCAATCAGCAGATCATGATCAACAGCTGCCTAGATGTGCAAGTGTCCTGTACATGACATGACAGCTAATTGAAATGGTTGCTGATTGCAATGAAACGTCCTTGACTCTCAAGTATAAAGCATGTTGGAATCGTCAAACACTAAGTCAGTCTGTCTCATTCAATAGTCAGTGCCTTCTAATCTCATCTCATTGTGCTTTACAAAAGCAAGTCCCATGCCGTCTCAGGTCAATGTGAATTATGAAATAGTAAGGTCTAGCTACTGCCTTTCATTGAATGAATGACTATTATGTCACAGATTTAATACGGTATGTGCCAAATCAGTATGATTAGTGTAAAGCTGCTATGTACCAGTCCTGGATTCACAAGTCCATCTGGCTATAGACAGATAAACCGTTTACAGAGCATCTCTGGACACAGATTCATCTGTTAGGGGAAAGTGATAAACATTAGGGATTTATTTGATATTATTGTATGAATCATATACTGGAATAGGAATCAAAACATATTTTTGGATAGAGGATGATTAAAAAAAAAGCTGTGAAGTTTGTTTATGCATAAGAAGTGCAAAGGCTTACTGTGTGTCCCCAGTGCTTCAGTGTTTTTAGCTTTATTAGTTACAAATCAGCTGTGGGGTATAGTAATAGCAGCTTAATACATTTCATATCAAAATGTTAGGCTCTCACATTTTAGCCTGAAGGTCTGCGTTGAGTTGCATTTACTAAGATGTCTTACGTACTAAGATGTCTTACATACTCTGCACTTCCTCTCTCTCTCTCTGACGGAATACTAGGAATTAATCAGAGCAATATCTTGTATGTAATGTGTGTGTACCACAATTTGGTGGAGCAAAGAAGCGTTAAAAATACATTCGCTTTAGCAAAACATACAGGAGATGGGATTGCTGCTGCATTAACATATCTGTAGCCACACACGTTAGTGTTGTGTCCCGAATGGCACCCTATTCCCTAAATAGTGCACTAAATAGTGCCCTTTAAAGGGAATAGGATGCCATTAGGGACGGAGCCTAGTTGTAACGGCCTAGGCGACGGTTGGTGAACCCAGTAATTAGTGGTGAGTGTTGTGTGCAGCTTCATTTAAAAGGCCTTGTAGCCTACTGGGAGTGGGTCATTGACTCTGTCTCAGAGATAGACGCTCCCACCACTGACCTGACAATCACTGCCATTTTGGGGCGAAACTGTGAGAGTCCCGGGTGTGAGAGTCAATATCTCCTCTCTCACTGCACACTCATGAAAGGTAGGAGTGCCCTCAATGCCCTTCCAAGCCAGCCAAGAGAAACATTCTGCTTCAAGTGCGATGTACAGTGCCTTGCAAAAGTATTCATCCCCCTTTGGTGTTTTTCCTATTTTGTTGCATTACAACCTATAATTTAAATTGATTTTTATTTGCATTTCATGTAATGGACATATACAAAATAGTCCAAGTTGGTGAAGTGGAATGACAAAAATAACTTGTTTCAAAAAATTTGAAAAAATAAATAACGGAAAAGTGGTGCGTGCATATGTATTCACCCCCTTCCCTTTGCTATGAAGCCCTAAATAAGATCTGGTGCAACCAATTACCTTCAGAAGTCACATAATTAGTTAAATAAAGTCCACCTGTGTGAAATCTAAGTGTCACATGATCTGTCACATGATCTCAGTATATATACACCTGTTCTGAAAGGCCCCAGAGTCTGCAACACCACTAAGCAAGGGGCACGCTCAGGTTTTCTGTTTTATTGTCTTATTTCTTGTTTGTTTCACAAGAAAAAATATTTTGCATCTTCAAAGTGGTAGGCATGTTGTGTAAATCAAATGATACAAACCCCCTAAAAATCAATTTTAATTCCAGGTTGTAAGGCTTTCAAAAGCCACTGTAGTTTCTTTGGATGTGTCTTCGACTATGAGTGTAGTGTAGTTCTGTGTGTTTGCCTTAGAAGAGTCCGGAAGTCATATTAGTCATTGCCTGTGTTCCAAACAGTACCCTTTTCAGTATTTACACTGTCCTACGTATTTATTTGGACAGTGAAGCTAAAACGTTTAATTTAGCTCTGTACTTCAGCATTTTGGATATAGCCCTTTCCTGCAGTCAATGATCAAAAGTGACCTCTTTGGCCTCATGGATGGAATGTTGTTAATATTTTTCATAATTTCATAATTAATAAAGATTATTTCCAGTTTCCATTTAGTGTAATATTAGGATGCAAACTCAAAATTGAATAAATCTCAACTGTATATCTGACATGGTACAGATGTCTTCTTATTTTTAAGCCCCCAACCATGTGTGTGAGGTGTATACTTTTGTTTCAAAGTAGATTTGTTTGACTACCAAGAAAACACTCTGTGTGACCCTGATTTAGCCCACTGCAGTAAAAGGTTATGGATAATCATTAATGAATCGTGAGTAATGATGAATGAGAAAGTTACAGATGCACAAAGATCATGCCCCAAAGACATGCTAACCTCACCATTACAAATAACCAGGGAGGTTAGCATTTTTGGGGGTGGTATGATATTTATGCCTCTAACTTTCTCACTCATCATTATTAACGATCCATTCATGATTATCCGTAATCATGGTAGCATCCACATTCATGTAGAAGTGTTCAGAAACATTATATTCTTATTTACAATAAATGTGACTCCAAAATGACACAATACATTATTATCCATTCATTTCTATTGGGCACAACATAATCTGAAACAACCAAAACAAACTGCAAATGCATACAACAAGTTTGTAGAGTCACAAACTAGATGTAGTCATTGCGTGCTAGGAATATGGGACCAAATACTAAACTTCTGACTAAATGTAATACACTATAAGTGATTTTTTTTCTAAATACTTGACACCTTCAAATTGGGGGACTAGATATATGTAAAGTGCTTTAATTTCTAAACGGTAAAACAGATATGTATGAACATACCCTCAAATGAAATGTGACATTCTGTACTGTTGCTTCATATTTGATCTCAAATCCAAAATGCTGGAGTATAGAGCCAAATTAATAGTTTTAGCTTCACTGTCCAAATAAATATGTAGGGGAGAGTAGTATACTACTTTTGACCTGGGCCCATAGGGCTCTGGTCAAAGGTAGTGCACTATGTAGGGAATAGGGTGCCATTTTGGATGCAGCATTTAGTTCCCATTGACCCAGTGCGAGGTCTCTTCCGCTTGGTGCCCCCGATTGCTTGTTAACGCTTCTGACAATGCTACTTGGTGCCGTGTGTGTGTGTGTGTGTGCCCCCTGAGACGTGCTCTCTGTGGCACACAGTGTGTATCTCGCCCTTTCTGTCACATGCCACTTGTTTCTCCTGGCAGGGATTGGGTCTGTTTAGCAGAAAAAGACTAACGTGAAACAACAGTTCATTCTGATGTTCAGTCTGTTTTCAGGCCACTCTCTTCCTGCAGCACACCTCACAATGGCACACTGCCCAGTTTGACTATTTTGTTCTTCACACTCAGGCCATCATCCCTTTTCTCTGCACTTGAATCCTCCAGAAAAGGGCTAACGTGGTTCACACCCACACTGATGCACACTCACTCACACACAATGTCAACACACAGCCAAACGTACTGTACGTCATCACATATGTGTGAAACCCTTTAGGGCTCTAGGGAACGTATACAGTTCCCATTTAGGATGCTGAAGGTGTTTGTTGAGGAATTCCCTACTGCAATATCTCCCAAAACCACATACTAACACTGGTTATTTAGTGTGCAACTTCATGATGCGTAAACATATTGGTTATTCTATCCATCTTCTCCATTTACTCATGGGAAAAGTTTTGTGATTTCTCACCTATTTATTCTACCTCTAATGGGAATCTCTCTCCTCCAGTAAAACTTCTCATTTATTTATTCATTCATTCATTCTCTCTCTCTCTCTCTCTCGCTCTCTCTCTCAACTAACCTATGTAGTTAGGAAGGTGGTGTTATCATGAACTGCTGTGTCATTTAAAAACATAAAATAAATGTATTTAAAACATGATCTGATTTATGTGATGTATAACAGCTAATGGGATAACCTGTCCCTGATATTGTGGATGTCTTGTTTTATGTCTTGTTCACTGGTGTTTCCCTGCATTCTGCTGCTTAAGAAAATATATGATGTCCTGCGAAAAACTAATTGAATCTACAACGTAAATTAACTACACCTTTCTTTCTACTATACAATTGATCTCTTTTAATATGATCTCAAAATACGAGTCAATTGAAGTTAATCAAACTTATATTGCATTTTTTTTTTGTTAGGTGAGTGGAAGACATCCAACATGTAACTTCCTCCTGGAGCTTGAAACAGACCAGGAAGAATGTCTTGTGAAGCTGAGGGACCAAGAACCTTCAAATTACTCCAAAGGTGACATCACAGAATATTTTGATTTCACATTCATCTCGCCTCATCAGACAGGATAAACCATGGGTTGCAAATAGATTTCTGAATATTTTGGGAATTGAAAGATTACAAGCTACATAGATTTTTATGTCACCCAATTAAATCACATTTATTAAACTTTTAAAAGAAAATATGAAATGCCACCTATTCAAGTGCCTTTGAAAAGTAAATGTCAAATTATATGAAGACTTTTAGTAGTTTTACAGTGTTTCCTAGTCCAGATAAGCCCCACAACTCAGATTGTGACCAGAAACCTTTGATTTATTGCCACTTTCCATTAAAATCTGAATAGCTTGCACTTTAGCTATCTTGAAGTAAATGTTGTACATAGTGAACGTTCTACAACTCATGCTTATGAGCATTCTCTCTATAATTAGGGGTTCAAGCCAGCGAAGCTGGGTGAAACCCTATTGTATTTGTTGACGTTCATTATTATTATTATACCGGTTGTTCTTGCGAGGAAATGTAACATGCAAATTCCTGTGAGATGGTAAGGCCGAGGAGGGTGCAACTTCACATGTTGGTAAAGGCCCATAGTCCACACCCTCTCATGCGATGCCATGCCAATTGGCCACAAGGTGGCGCTATAACAGGCGATTGAAATTGCAAATTTCGGTCCAGCGGTTCTGAAGAAGAAGACATTTAAAGTAGTCAACATCATTACAATTGGTCCAAAATACATTAAAGGCATATTGCATGATCTGTTTGATGTTTTAGTTCTGATATTTGGCAAGCATGGAAAGGATTACAGAAGTAGCTCATCCTAGGGCAATGTGTCGAGTTTGTCCTGATGGTGGCACAATGGGCCCACAACTTGAACCCCGGCATTTCTGCTTGCAGTTATAATAATAATAATTATTATTATTATACTAAACTTTATGCCTGGCAGCCCCACCATGCTGCCGACTCACTATATTGACACTTTACTGTGAGTTATAACCAAGGTTGTGCTACATAAATTAAACTAATTGGATGAAGAATTACTGTGAGGTGTCAAGGGAATTAGTGTACGTTATCAAAGACAAGAGAACGTGTATAGTTTAGTTGAAATTATACATTATTTCGCAATGTAACTTTTGTCTTCTTTCACCATAACATGAGCATAGGTATAAAGCAGTTCTTATTGACAATATTAAGTAAAATATGCATTGAAAGTACCCAGTTACTCCAGGAACAGATCATTTTTCTGAACATAAAATTACATAAGAGAACAATTTGATTTCATTTGACTTAATTATTAGGTGTATGCCTTTATGTATTTTTCCTACCATGTGACGTTCTATTTTGTATTCCTTCAATAATATCTCAATCTCAAAACCTGACCAATGTATGTTTCTGAGCCTTGCTTGTGTGTACTGTACTGTAAAATTGATATATTTTATGCTATCAAGCAGGCACCTTCACCAAAGCGATTTACATCAGTGAGTGCATACATTTTCATATCGGTGGTCCTACGGGGAATTGAACCCACGACCATGACGTTGCTAGCGCCATGCTCTTACCAACTGAGCCAACTGTACCATGGAAGTATAGAGAGCATCCAGGTCAATAATAAAGGGAGCAGGGATTTCATGCATCAGTTACCCTGGTATTGGAATGAAGCCATGCTTAATGCAAATCAATAATTGATTTGTTCTTGTTGTATAGCCCAATGTGATTATGAAACATTTCTGTTTTTTTATTTTTATTGATTAGCGCCAGTGCGCACTGTGGGTGGCAATGTACTCAACAGTATCATCTAAAAGTGTGATACAGTACAGTACTGCCATTATCATACATTGAATCACAGTTATAAAGATACCATACAGCAAGCAGGAGCTGCACTTGAAATAATATAATTGTGTGTGTCCCAAATGTCACTCTGTTCCCTACAGTGCACTACTTTTGACCAGAGCCCTGTGCACTATAAAGGGAATCGGGTGCCATTTGAAACGCAGCAGGACACACATTATACCACTCATGTGGGTCACATCATGAATATGTATTTTTTTTTTTTTTTTGTCTGTGTGTCACAATTTTGTTTTCATTGAATTATTTCTGTCTGATGTTAGTTAATATGTTTATTTTGATAGAGCTGGCTACATTGTTTACTGGTGGGGCTACGTTTTACTGAGCTTAGGCCTAAGCGCTCCATTTTTGCCACTAAGTTGCTAAAAAGGGTTTGACTGTTTTAAGTCTGCCCTTGGCACTTTCACACCCTTTTGTTTCATAACAAGCTATTTCAGGAGTCATGTTTCAGAGAAAGGCTTTCTCAGCCGTGGCCGTCCTCCTGACATTGGTGAAACAAATAGATTCACACATTTAGCCACTTTCACTCCCACACAGAGAATCTATCATATTGTTCCAACCACCAGTAGCGTAATGGACTACCATTCATTCTGAAAGAGCCTACTGTATAGTGAAGTGTATATTGTGCATACACTACTGAATGTACAGTAGGTGAGCATTGATCATATACAATAATTATATGATGCTATCCATAAAATGAACAACCTATAGAGCAGGGCTCTCCAACCCTGTTCCTGGAGAGCTACCGTCCTGTAGGTTTTCACTCCAACCCTAATCGAGCACACCTGATTCTAATAATTAGCTGGTTGATAAGCTGAATGAGGTGAGTTACAACTGGGGTTGGAGCGAAAACCTACAGGTGGGTAGCTCTCCAGGAACAGGGTTGGAGTGAAAACCTACAGGAGGGTAGCTCTCCAGGAAAAGGGTTGGAGCAAAAACCTACAGGAGGGTAGCTCTCCAGGAACAGGGTTGGAGCGAAAACCTACAGGAGGGTAGCTCTCCAGGAACAGTGTTGGAGAACCCTGCTGTAGAGTGTATGGTCTTGAATCACCTATGGCAGAAGTACAATTTCAACAGTTGCATAAGGCAAAGTTATGATAAACAACCAACTGTTTTATTTATTTAAATCATTGTATTTTTCTAAGACACTGCTGTCTGATCTCTTGACAGGAGTAGGATGCAAAGCGATCTGGGATAACATAGCATGTTGGGACCGTGCAGAGGTTGGAGAGACTGTCACTAGAGAGTGCCCCAGGGTGCTCAAGATGTTCTTTGGCAGAAATGGTACAGTATTGTCATTTCTCATACATTAATTTCGATATCAATGTCAAAGTCACATTTCTGGATGTTTTTGTGGGAGTGTTCTGTTCTCAAACCCCACATTCAAAGGGTAGTTTGAGATATTCCTCAAGCAATGTTCTGTACGTTTTTTTCGGGTTAGAGCTTACGCCATGTTCGGGCTTTGGATTCACACCAGACCCATGTTTCTCATTTCACAGAATTACCGAGGTGTACAGACCAGTGTAATGTAGATGTTCTACCTTTCGAGTACATTGAAAGCCAGGGACAAAAATGGCCCCCAAGTTTATATCGTTATTTTTTATAAACTGTGGCACTGAAACATGGTGAATTGCACTAAGCAAGGTTCAGAGAATGATCTGTTCTGCACTGCATGGATTAGAGGCAAAATGAATCACGTCTGCTCACTCCATAATCTCCAATGGCCCATGTGGCAGACTAGGATGCTGTGGAGCTCTCCACCTTCCCATCAGTCTGGACGAATCTGCACTGACACGTCATTCATTATAAACTAATTACCCAGACAAAAAGGATGATAAATGATGCATTATACTGTTAGATTATTGGATTCACTTGAAGACAGGTTCCAGTCCTATGATGAACGCCCCACATTCAAGATACACTACATGACCAAAAGTATGTGGACACCTGCTTGTGGAACATCTAATTCCAAAATCATGGGCATTGATATGAAGTTGGTCCCCCCTTTGCTGCTATAACAGTCTCCACTCTTCTGGGAAGGCTTTCCACTAGATGTTGGTACATTGCTGCGGGGTACTTGCTTCAATTCAGCCACAAGAGCATTAGTGAGGTCGAGAGAGAGAGACCCAGACCATTATTCCTCCTCCACCAAACATTACAGTTGGCACTATGCATTTTATACACCTGTCAACTACCGGTGTGGCTGAAATAGCCGAATCCACTAATTTGAAGGGGTGTCCACATACTTTTGTCTATATAGTGTACATCTGAGTTAAAACTAGCTGTGTGAAATTGATAAGGACGAGTTGGGCATGTAAATTGGCTTGGAATACTTTTTGTAACAGAAACCTCTGGGGAGCCCTATAGCACCCGTCAAACCTATGACTAGGCAGGCTGCTGTGGCAGGGTCTGTGTAGAGTATACTAATGGAGTGCGACATGCTCATTCCGATCACAGAAGTGGAGAAAGAAAGAAAGAGGCCTGTGGTTATACATAGTGTGTGGCAAAGTACATTACAGAACATTGCACACTGGGTTCAGGCACTGCCATCGGTTGCGTCCCAAATGGCACCCTTTAACTTATATAGTGCACTACTTTTGACCAGGGACGATAAGACTGGTCAAAAGTAGTGCACTATGTGAGGAATAGGGTGCCATTTGGGATGCAATCATCGTTGTCTCCTCGAGAATAACACAGAGAGAATAAACACAGTCTCTCACATCCTCTGTTCCGCTTACATTCTCCCCCTGCCCCTGTCTGTCCCTGCCACAGAGCAGAGCACACTCCAGACGTTTATATCTCCAGACGCATTCTCTCATCTAGACCTCTGTGGAATGCCAAACCCAAGAGAAGAAACACATTCAATATTCAACCGACTAAGTTGAAGGCTCCTTTGAATCAAGCATTGAACGATGATTGTTCTTCCCAGAGTGAGAGGTTTTTGTGAAAAACCAATCTCTCAAAATTACATCTATTTGCCCTTGAAAAGACTGTCTGAATGTCTTTTAAAGGCCCAGGGCAGTAAAAATTCAGTTTTCCTGTGTTTAAAAATAATAATATTGTACAACAGCTGATGAAACTAACACTGTTAAAGTGTGAAAAAAGTGGATCAGTGTTTTCCTGATAGTTGCTGGTTGAAAATACAATCTACACAGGACTTTCTAATCAGCAGGTTTGCATGGGTGGGAGTTTCTGCTTGCTGGGTGACATCACCAGGCGGTAAATTGGTTAATAGACCAATAACAAAGAGAGTTCCAAACGTCTCTGCCAATAACAGCTTGTTTTCAGTTTTCCCCTCCCCACTCAGACCACTCCCAGACAGTCCTTGCAAAATTCTTGCTTGAGAAATAGTTTTTTGCTAAAAAGCTATTTTTGTCAGTTTTAATGGAAAACTATTACAGTACGGTACTTAATTGTTACCCAGAAATGATTTGATATTGATATAAAACAGTCTTTAATATATATGATAACACTGTAAACAAGAGCCTGACGAATTAAACTTTAATGGAAGCCATCATCTGTCATGTTCAAAATGGGATCACAGCAATTCACTTCAGGGTTGTGTGTGAAGCCAATATTTCAGTCAGCTTGATTGGGCTTACTATCTGTGATAACAATAGAAGATAATCTTGGCTAAAAAAAAATATTTCATCAAACTCATCAGGGAAATCAAATCCCTGCATCTACAAACAAACAAACATGCTGCATGTTTCTAAGACTATGATTTATGAAAGGAATAATGGGTCTGGATAACCATTTATAAAGGTTTTAGAGAAGAGGCAATAGAAACATTTAACTGGCAAAAACAATGTTTTTCTCCTATCCACAGGAAACATAAGCAAGAACTGTACAGCGGACGGATGGTCTGATGTTTTTCCCAACATCACCAGTGTGTGTGGGGCAGAGGAAAAGCATGATAAGGTAAGCAGGGTGATGTTCTTTAAGTTCTCGATCTCTATATCTATTGTCTCTCTAGTGTTGTATCATTATTCACAGTTTGACCAAGAAACGACATGGAAATACAATACAGTAGTCTATCAGATATTAGATATTGCAATGAAGGTGTTGATACATTGGACATCAAAGAAAATAACAAGACAATGTTCTTGTGTGATTGATTTTCCATTGTTTTATATTATATACTATTTTGTTTGTGGTCTGATTTCTGAGTGTGAAGGCCCTCATGCTGATAATGAAAGCTAGCAGTAGAACACTTTGCTAAATGCATGGAAATTCTGTCCTGGGTCTGTTTTGATAGGGAAGGTGTACTGCAGTGTGTGTTTGTGTGCTAACTTCCACCTGATGCCTTGAAATACAGATGAAACACAGGCACCTTAAAGGCTAAATAAAACATCCTGTTCACCATGGCACCCAGCTGTCTCCTCAATCTAAACATTGTACCATCTGTGTCCCAAATGGCTCCCTATTCCCTATAGTGCACTGCTTTTGACCAGAGCCCTGTGGTGAATATGCTTGTGGAGTAACTGAATACTGAATACATGTATTATTATTATTATTATTATTATATTATGTACAGTGAGGGAAAAAAGTATTTGATCCCCTGCTGATTTTGTATGTTTGCCCACTGACAAAGAAATGATCAGTCTATAATTTTAATGGTAGGTTTATTTGAACAGTGAGAGACAGAATAACAAAACAAAAATCCAGGAAAAGGCATTGTCAAAATTTTTATAAATTGATTTGCATTTTAATGAGGGAAATAAGTATTTGAACCCCTCTCAATCAGAAAGATTTCTGGCTCCCAGGTGTCTTTTATACAGGTAACGAGCTGAGATTAGGAGCACACTCTTAAAGGGAGTGCTCCTAATCTCAGTTTGTTACCTGTATAAAAGACACCTGTCCACAGAAGCAATCAATCAATCAGATTCCAAACTCTCCACCATGGCCAAGACCAAAGAGCTCTCCAAGGATGTCAGGGACAAGATTGTAGACCTACACAAGGCTGGAATGGACGTGGTGAGAAGGTGACAACAGTTGGTGCGATTATTTGCAAATGGAAGAAACACAAAATAACTGTCAATCTCCCTCGGCTTGGAGCTCCATGCAATATCTCACCTTGTGGAGTTGCAATGATCATGATAACGGTGAGGAATCAGCCCAGAACTACACGGGAGGATCTTGTCCACTATGATGACACACCAAATGTGTTTGATGGATCCTTTTTGTCTTCTTCTAGTGCCTCTTAAGGGGAAAGTAATCTAAATGTAACTGAAAGTAATCTATTTACATTACTGAGTTTGGGTAATCCAAAAATTATGTTACTGATTACAAATTTGGACAGGTAACCTACCCAACCCTGGTGGTGAAAATTTGGGACGCAGACTCCGAGTTACTGTCATCCTGGTTGGCCCACTACAGCAGATGTTAATAAGAGGCCAAGCAAGTAGCAACAATGAACTAGGAGTAGAAAACATGAAGAAGACTGATGATTCATACTGCTATTCCACTGCCCAAAATTTTATCAGAGATGAGCCCTGAAAAAGGGCAATCAAACTCACGAATGACCCATTCATTTAAGGTAATTTAAATAATACTCCCAACCAGGGTTGGGTAGGTTACTTTGTAAATGTAATCTGTTACACTTACTAGTTATCTGTCCACAATTGTAATCAGTAACATAATCTGATTACTTTAGGATGACTTTCCCCTTAAGAGGCATTAGAAGAAGACAAAAAGGATCCATCAAACACATTTGGTGTGTCATCATAGTGGACTCCCTCAGGTGGAACAAATGTAAACTTGTGCCTTTTTTTCAATGCTGAATTGAATGTCATTGAGAAAACAAATTTTTTCACAAGCATCCTTTCTGAAAAAATAAATCCAAGGAATTTCAAAAGTATCTGTAATCAGATTACAATCGTTTGCTGGTAACGTTGCTGAATACAGTTCGTTTTTTTGTAATCAGATTACTTGCAACCCTGCTCCCAACACCAGTAATTCTCATTTGACATACTGACTGAAGTAAAATTGCTGGCCACGATTCCCTCCCATTCACTTGTTTTATTCAGATTGGGGCAATATCAATACCTTGAATAGCCTATTGTGATTGCTTTCTCTCTCTTCTATTGGAGGTTATCCAAGATGCGCCTCTGGTCTGGATCACAGGGCCATCGTTGGCACTCTGCTGATCTCCATCTGAAAAAAAGAACTCCTACTTTCCTAAATATTAAATATACTGAAAGGTTTTCCTTTAGCTGTGTGGCCATTAATCCGTGAAATTCGACAACTACTCTCACCCAAGCCTTTCCCCCTGTCCGTTTGTGTTAAGGCCAAGTCCAGTCTTTCGGAAAGGTAAATTAATCTTCTCACTATGAAAAATAGATAGGAACACATGTTTCCTCAATTACTTGTTTCACACCTATAGTTAATACGTTTTGGGCTGCAACTAGTAGTGAAGCCAGGAATTCTTGAAAGTGGTGGAGTGGCAAGAAGTACCAAATGATGCCCCCTGCCATTACCAATATAGTGCAAGCTCTTTGGGACCCTGCCTTTGGGATGTAACCTCTAGCCTGAGTGCCAGTCTGTTTGTGCTATCATGCCAACTCCTTGTCACTCATTGTTCTGTTTGGCTTGACAATAACAGCAATGGAGTTGGCATGAGCACAAACAGATCTGGGACCAGGCTTTGTAACCTCAACTTTGGCTGGATAACCTTTTCTTATAGTTGTATTTGAAGAGGAGTTATGATGTTCATGGATGTGTGATGTTCAAACCTACTCTAACCTTAATATATATTTTTGAGGCCGAAAGTGTGATATCTCATTGACATTCTTGCTAAAGCAATTATCTAAGTTTGACAGTATATTAGGTTTTGTCTATCATATACAGTACATCAGATGCATGTTGTGTGTCCTCTAAAGGCAATTTACTAAGAACAACGTGGCGGGGTGACCACTTTTTTGTTGTTTGAATCCCAGATTGCCCCTTTAAGAGCTCTGTGACCAATGCTGCAATGCTGTTTCCCACTAATACACTAGATTACAGTTGCGTTACTTGTCTTTTTCGAGTTGAGGTCAACCCTCACTTACGCCCTAGAGAGCCAATTCAGTCCCTGTGGCAGAGTCAGAAGTGGCAAAGTCTCCTAGAGGGGAAACATTGAGGACTCTCGCTTGTTCCTCTCAGAGCGTAAAGCTATTTTTAAAAATGTATTTCTAGGGCTATTTTTGGTGATACAAATGGGCAGATTAGCGGCCCTTTTGACATGATGATCACTGGCAATTAGACTGGAATCAATCCAGACAAAATTCATTAACAGTTTTGCTGTGACAAATTATTTCTTTGAGGTATTATTATGTATTATAAAACGGGTAGTTTGGATCCTGGATGCTTATTGGTTGATAGTTGTTAGGCATTTTCCGTGGATAACTGTCAACAGTTCCATATGAATACACTTGGAAAGTGTACTGAAGACACCTTGCAGTTTTGATACGTACTTCGTAGTGAAGGTGTGTTTAATGTATCAGTTGGGGTGTTTTTGTCGACTAAATTTACACAAAGTTTTCTTTCAAATCTTATGGATGAGATAGTATCAAAACTAATTGACCTTTTCTTGGAAGGATGAAAGGTTACTATTCAACTGTATCTGTCATTTCACTGTTTAGGACTGGCTATAGGGATACACTCGTTCTATAGGGAGTGTGTGTGTGTGTGTGTGTGCGTGCGTCCACGTTTTGTAGAACAATGAGCAATGGAAAGTGTGAAGTGCAGGTGGAGAAGATATGTCACTGCTGCAGGATAGGAGTTCTCTCAATGCTTTTAGAGAGAGTGACTGTTTTACTAAGAGAATGTCAATTTGGCACTGCCTCAAAGGAGTGACTGCGAGCATTGGTGCGTTGGTAGGGTCCTTGTCTGACATTTGTTTTAAAGGAAGTCTCTTTGTTTTTCACTCAACCGTAGTAAAAGGGGGTAAATCAAACATTTGACTAATTTCCTGGGGAAACAAGATAAGAGGGCAGATTCGAGCAGGTCATGTTATTGACAGATTTCAATCTCTTTGAATCTGTGAATCACTCTTTGAGTGGGTTGAATGATTCGCAGTAAAGGCATTGTACTTACAATGGCTCCTCTTAGGGGATGGCTCTTTCTGACAGTAATGCTCGGTACATGTTTTTCTCACCAATGTTTTTAACCAGTCTCTACAGTACACTTTTGTGACTCTGAAAATGATGTTTCTAAAGATCCTACAGTCTTTCAGTTTCAACATGTTGATGTTGATGTTGCTGGTGATAATTCTAGGATATTACATCTGTCATTTGGTGTTACAGTGAGGGAAAAAAGTATTTGATCCCCAGCTGATTTTGTACGTTTGCCCACTGACAAAGACATGATCAGTCTATAATTTTAATGGTAGGTTTATTTGAACAGAGAGAGACAGAATAACAACAACAAAATCCAGAAAGATGCATGTCAAAAATGTTATAAATTGATTTGCATTTTAATGAGGGAAATAAGTATTTGACCCCTCTGCAAAACATGACTTAGTACTTGGTGGCAAAACCCTTGTTGGCAATCACAGAGGTCAGACATTTCTTGTAGTTGGCCACCAGGTTTACACACATCTCAGGAGGGATTTTGTCCCACTCCTCTTTGCAGATCTTCTCCAAGTCATTAAGGTTTCGAGGCTGACGTTTGGCAACTCAAACCTTCAGCTCCCTCCGCAGATTTTCTATGGGATTAAGGTCTGGAGACTGGCTAGGCCACTCCAGGACCTTAATGTGCTTCTTCTTGAGCCACTCCTTTGTTGCCTTGGCCGTGTGTTTTGGGTCATTGTCATGCTGGAATACCCATCCACAACCCATTTTCAATGCCCTGGCTGAGGGAAGGAGGTTCTCACCCAAGATTTGACGGTACATGGCCCCGTCCATCGTCCCTTTGATGCGGTGAAGTTGTCCTGTCCCCTTAGCAGAAAAACACCCCCAAAACATAATGTTTCCACCTCCATGTTTGACGGTGAGGATGGTGTTCTTGGGGTCATAGGCAGCATTCCTCCTCCTCCAAACACGGCGAGTTGAGTTGATGCCAAAGAGCTCCATTTTGGTCTCGTCTGACCACAACACTTTCACCAAGTTCTCCTCTGAATCATTCAGATGTTCATTGGCAAACTTCAGACGGGCCCGTATATGTGCTTTCTTGAGCAGGGGGACCTTGCGGGCGCTGCAGGATTTCAGTCCTTCACGGCGTAGTGTGTTACCAATTGTTTTCTTGGTGACTATGGTCCCAGCTGCCTTGGGATCATTGACAAGATCCTCCCGTGTAGTTCTGGGCTGATTCCTCACTGTTCTCATGATCATTGCAACTCCACGAGGTGAGATCTTGCATGGAGCCCCAGGCCAAGGGAGATTGACAGGTCTTTTGTATTTCTTCCATTTGCGAATAATCGCACCAACTGTTGTCATTTTCTCACCAAGCTGCTTGGCGATGGTCTTGTAGCCCATTCCAGCCTTGTGTAGGTCTACAATCATGTCCCTGACATCTTTGGAGAGCTCTTTGGTCTTGGCCATGGTGGAGAGTTTGGAATCTGATTGATTGATTGCTTCTGTGGACAGGTGTCTTTTATACAGGTAACAAGCGGAGATTAGGAGCACTCCCTTTAAGAGTGGGAGCCAGAAATCTTTGTGATTGAGAGGGGGTCAAATACTTATTTCCCTCATTAAAATGCAAATCAATTCATAACAGTTTTGACATGCGTTTTTCTGGATATTTTTGTTGTTATTCTGTCTCTCACTGTTCAAATAAACCTACCATTAAAATTATAGACTGATCATTTCTTTGTCAGTGGGCAAATGTACAAAATCAGCAGGGGATCAAATACTTTTTTCCCTCACTGTAGGATCAAAGTCCATTCTGAAAGTACATACAAAGTAGGTTGCTATGACCCATACGCAGGACCTGTGCATTGTATGTTCTTTCTCCTGACTCGTCTTCTATGGTGCTGAAGTAAACGCCTATCTGAGATCAATCATATTTCTTTGCATTTAATTATATATACAGCTTTGACACAGCCAATGACTGTACTGTATGTTCTCTCTCCTATAGCTGCTCTTCTTTATGGTGGTGAAGACGTTATATACGCTGGGCCACAGTTTGTCTTTGATCGCCCTCACAACTGGGAGCGCCATCCTCTGTCTATTCAGGTGAGAGTTAGGGTGAGTCCCAAATGACACCCTATTTCCTATATAGTGGTCAAAAGTAGTGCACTATATACTGTAGGAAATAAGGTGCTATTTGGGTAACAATCTTAGTCACGCACTGTAGAGAGAAGCAGCAGGGTGTTGTCACACACCAGAGATCCTCTGATAAATAATTTCTTTCACCCACTCTATAGAAAACTCCATTGCACGCGGAACTACATTCACCTCAACCTTTTCTTTTCCTTCATCCTGAGAGCGGTGGCAGTTCTTGTGAAGGACGACATCCTCTTCTCTCGCAATCAGTGCTCTGAGCAGCCTTCACTGGTGAGTCAGGTTGTTTATCAGCCTGTATACCTCTGGTTCTTATAGTTAATTGACAATTCCGACTGATATGTATTTGTATGTATTGGTATTGATGTATTTGTATAGATTTGCTATGAAACTTCTTTGAGATTGTGGTACAGAATTCAGTTTCCATTGGACACATTTTGGTTCTTGCACCTTCAGTTCACTCTGATTGTGTTGGTATACTTTAGAAATAAGTGGTTTCCACATCTTTGTCTATCAGAATAAGGACATGGAATTCAGTTTCCATATAGACACACACGTTGGTTATTTTTGTTGAGTGTCCTGTAGTTTCTCTTTGTATAGCAGCACAAGTGATGTACTACAATGTTGTCCCAGATTGGATGCAAGGCGAGCCTGGTGATTTTTCAATACTTTATCATGGCCAACTTCTTCTGGTTGCTGGTCGAGGGCCTTTACCTCCATACGCTCCTGATAGTCATCTTCTCTGAAAATAGACACTTCATCGTTTATCTTCTCATCGGCTGGGGTAAGCTACTCATTAATATATATGCAATGTATCAACAACAGTGAGGAACATGCAGTACATCCAATCCATTCATGCTATCATGTCCTCCCGAGTGGCGCAGTGGTCTAAGGCTAGCTGTGCCACTAGAGATCCTGGTTCGAATCCAGGCTCTGTCGTAGCCGGCCGTGACCGGGAGACCCATGGGGCGGCGCACAATTGGCCCAGCGTCGTCCAGTGTAGGGGAGGGAATGGCCGGCAGGGATGTAGCTCAGTTGGTAGAGCATGGCATTTGCAACGCCAGGGTTGTGGGTTCGATTCCAGTATGAAAAAAAAAAAATTTGATGTATGCACTCACTAACTGTAAGTCGCTCTGGATAAGAGCGTCTGCTAAAATGTCTATCAGATTGTATTCGGTGAATTCTCCTCTGTATTTCAGGAATCCCAACCGTGTTTGTTTCTGCATGGGCTATTACAAGGGTTTATTTTGAGGATACTGGGTAAGTCACCTTGGAAAGCATAAATGTACATGGTTGGTAGGGTGGTGGATTCTTTTCATGTGTGATTGCCAGACAGGGCCGGGGGCGGGGCATTACTGAAAATTAGGGCATTTCATAACTCTAAATTCATAACATACCAACTGCCTCTGTAGCCAAAATGTCAACATTTATAGGCCTATTTATTTTCTGGTTTCAACACACTCATCAAACATTGTAAGCAAGCCAGTGACTCCTAGGCCTAGAGACAACCAGAGAACGAATGATGATGTAGGCTAAATATGCTAGCTAGTTAGCAATGGCGTCGGAAAAAACTAGGTTTTACTTGATTTGAGTTTGTTCTGATGCTGACATCTGCCTCTCACTAACAAGCAGTCAAATTGCCCCATTCTTTGCCCCTAACAGAGACTCATGACAGATCCAACTCAAAATAGCCTCCTGGTACAATGTCTCCCTGCCCGGCGCCCGCAGCCAGTGGCCACTGCATGCAAGTCAGATGACTGCGCTCTTGGGGAGGGGGTCTTTTCTGAGATTCAAGAGCTTATGAAATGACCTAGTTTTATGCACAATTTGTTACATTTAAAATTAAGAAAACAATTCTAAAAGAGATCCGAGTGGTACAGCGGTCTAAGGCACTACAGCCTGGGGCTGTGACCGGGAACCCCAAAGGGCGGTGCACAATTTGTCCAGCACCGTCCGGGTTAGGGGAGGGTTTGACCAGCGGTGCTTTCCTTGACTCATCGCGCTCTAGCGACTCCTTGTGGCGGGCCGGGCGCCTGCAAGCTGATTTTGGTCAGTCGGACGGTGTTTCCTCAAACACATTGGTGCGGCTGACTTCAGGGTTAAGCGAGCAGTGTGTTAAGAAGCAGCACGGCTTGGTGGGTCATGTTTCACGTCTTGACCTTCGCCTCTCCCGAGCCCATTGGGGAGTTGCAGCAAGGTCATATGGGGAATAATAATAAATAATTAAATAAAAATATCGACGAGCTGTGCGGGCACTTTTTCATAAGAGGGCAAAAGGGCAGGTGTTTGGGCACTGGTTGAACCCTATCTGTGCATGTGCCTGTTGCCAGACTTAATGTAGATGTGCTGTTTGTCTTGGATTGTGTGAAATAATTTGGTTGTGATTATAAAGTTAATGAAGCGTTGGCAACCTTTGTAATTTTAATGTATTGCTCAAATCAGTTTAAACCAGTTCAAAGTGCTGTGCATAGGTTAGTAAGGCCAGGGATGCATGGCACGTGTTTACTAACATCTTCATATGGGTATCATTTCCTATTCCTTCAGATGCTGGGAACAGAATGATAACCCAATCCCCAAGTGGGTGATCAATGTACCCATAGGCTTCTCCATCATGGTGGGTATCTATCATTTATCCTTCTCTATTGCTGCTAATTTAATTCCCTTTACCACATGCAGGATCAAACCCTTGCTACATCCCAAGCATTAACTAAACAGAATGTGTCCAGGAGATAAGTAAATGCCACACAGAGAATATTCAGATCTGTCATGTTAGGTAGCTAACACATAATGGGGAGCTGATAGGATTGTAACGGCAAGAGCATGTTAAACGTAGTTGCTCTGCATGCGTGTGAATTTATGCTGTGCTTGGATATAGTTCAAGGTTGAACTAGCTTTATTGAACTGTCTGTCTAAACATTGCATTTTACAACAGGTGATTTATATGGAATGATGTACTGTTGTCTTATCTGACTGCATAACACAGCCCTTAATGTATACCAACGCTGGTTATAGCTGAGTTAATTGCCCTTAAATTGGTTGACTGCATTTCTTTTTAACTAAATATACAACATATGTCAATATATATTGACTGGGTTTCCAGGTGAACTTCATCCTGTTCATCAGTATTATAAGGATTCTGGTTCAGAAGCTGAGATGTCCTGATGTGGGTGGCAACGACCAGTCACAATACAGGTATGTGTTGTTGTGCTCAGTCAGTCACTGAACAGGGAGGCCTATGTGTTACTGCACTCAGGCAACAGACCATGAATACTCAATAATGGAGTGTCAACATTCCTGAATGGAGAAATTAAGTGCTCAAATGTTGCAGTATGCCTTTGTGTGTCACTCTGACATATGGTATTTTAGTTGACTTCTCAAGCCAAAGACATAGATATGCAGCCATGAAGGTGTTCTATTGTGCAAACTGTACACTGTAGAGTGACAATATAGATTTGTGCTAAGCTATAGAGGTGGTCAGCACAGCACATATTTGCCTTCAGGGAGAAATATTCCCATCTCGTCAGCGAGGGGATTTAAGGGCTAAGAGGCGGCTGGTGATGCTAAGACTGGATGAGCTAGTGTCTACTGCTACAGGATAGTCTACCTTGGTTGGCACTTGGCAGTCAGGGCCCCTTCACGATTTAGAATGTATCTCAAATGACACCCTATTCCCTTCATAGTGCACAACTTTTAGTGCCCATAGGGCTCTGGTCAAAAGTAGTGCACTATTGGTTAAAAGGGTACGCAGCCTTTACTCTCACTTCACTGCAGCACAGACAACATAGAGCCCTCAAAAGGCTCGGACTGCATGTGCGGGTCTTGGATGTGGGTACGCAGACCCACGAGCCACTGTGGCCCCTCGTGATTAGTTTAGATATTTTGTGGGCCCCACCCCCATCAAAATGGCCCATCCCTGCTCTATATGCTCCCTATAATTTAATGGGTAAACACCAACATTTCGCCACAACGTTTTGTGGACGTATTAACAACAATTATTATTAAATTATATGCTGAGTATACAAAACATGCTCTTTCCATGACATGGACTGACCAGGTGAATCCAGGTGAAAGCTATGATCCCTTATTGATGTCACTTGTTAAATCCACTTAAATCAGTGTAGATGAAGGGGAGGAGACAGGTTAAAGAAGGATTTTTAAGCCTTGAGACAATTTAGACGAGGATTGTGTATGTGTGCCATTCAGAGGGTGAATGGGTAAGACAAAATATTTAAGTGCCTTTGAACAGTGTATAGTAGGTGCTAGGTGCACCGGTTTGTGCCAAGAACTGCAACGCTGCTGGGTTTTCACGCTCAACAGTTTCCCATGTGTATCAAGAATGGTCCACCACCCAAAGGACATCCAGCCAACTTGGGAAGTATTGGATTCAACATTGGCCAGCATCCCTTTGGAATGCTTTCGATACCTTGTAGAGTCCATGACCCAACTAATTGAGGCTGTTCTGAGGGCAAAAGGGGGGTAGGGGGGTAGGGGGGGGGGTGCAACTCAATATTAGGAAGGTGTTCCTAATGTTTGCTATACTTAGTGTATATGATTGTATAACAGTGTAGTCTCTAGGTCCCCTCCATAGAGTGTCTCTGTAATATTGTGTGTGTGGTTTCAGGAGGTTGGCCAAATCTACTCTCCTGCTGATCCCTCTGTTTGGCATCCATTACGTTGTCTTTGTGTCTCTCAATGAATCCATGGAAAATTACAAAATCTTCTTTGACCTCGCTATCGGATCCTTTCAGGTAAAACTGATCCCTTTTGGATATTTTAATCTATCACGATATATTCTGGCTATTTTTGGTGCAGTTTTCTCATTTTGGTGACTTTCTGTTGACAGGGCCTGGTGGTTGCCATCCTGTACTGTTTCTTAAACAGTGAGGTAAGCTCTCGCCTTGATTGCTCTTAATTGCATTTTATTCTGGAATTAATAGGTTGTCTTGGGCACTGATGGCTCAGTTAAAAAGATGTACAACAGTGTAAATGATTAGTGTTGACAGTGTTGAACCAGTGTTGACAGTGTCTTCCTTGGCACAAATTAGGATAGATGAGAAGCAACGTGCAGGCTTTTATAAAAGCTGTTGTGTACATCATTGTAATTGACCTCAAACTCAACCTCGACAAGACGGAACTACTTTATTGAAAAAAAATTTACTTGACAGTGATATGTGGTTGTCCCACCTAGCTATCTTAAGATGAATGCACTAACTGTAAGTCGCTCTAGATAAGAGCGTTGGCTAAATTACTATAATGTAAAAGTATATAATGTTTAAAGGTATTTTGTTAGCAGTTAATACAAATGTACATTTTAATTCTCGTTGTCTGCTTTATTTTCATTGTAGTAAAATGATGAGTACAGCATTTTATTTAAAGATTATATAAGCAATGTAGTGACAGATGTGGGCTAGTTTTCCATCTGTGCTAAAATATTTACCTTGCTACTTCAGGTTCAAGGGGAACTCAAGAGAAAATGGCAGAGTATATGCCTCAACTGCCATATGGCCAGAAACTACACCCAGCACAACACCTACGCCTCCAGAAACGGCTCAGAGAACATGGCTCAGTTCCAACGTAATTCTCGTGCTCAGTCCTTCCTGCAGACAGAGACCACTGTACTGTGAGGGCTGCGGGTAAAAAGGGATCTGTCTCCATTAAAACGCTATGGAACTCTGGTTATGGTTGTACCACGGTATTGGCAGAACAATTGCCACAATGGCACTCTAGGATCTTCTAATGAGTTTGTCAAAAAAAACGTGTACCCCGATACAGGGTTTGAAAAAAAAAAACGTTTTTGTGCCCGCAATTTATGGCAGATGGCGTAACAGGCTATTTTTGAACAGAAATGAATAAATTGGGCTATACTGCAGTAATGTCAATATTTGTAATAATTGGTTAGTTTAAGTAAACATTTCATTACTGGATGCCAGGGAGAAGTGCTCTGCATGGCTCTTATACATCTTTATCTCTCTCCTTCTCTCTCCCTCTTCCTGTAGTAAAACGGATTTCACACTGTGGTTAACGACCAGAGACTATATGCTGCGCGTACGGTCCCACGGCCACTAGGGGGTTCCCAACCCAAAAACAAAAAAAATGTAGGAACTCAGTCGGGGTCTCAACTTACTGTTGAGAGTTACAAAGTAGAATACACAAGGTGCAATTTAGAAATATGGTAGTGCATTGCAGTTTGCCACTTGTCATGTCAGTCACTGACAGTCACTCAATTAGCCCAGCTATGTCAGCTACAATGTTTTAGATTGCTGGGTAAGGTAGTCTAGCCAGCTATCTAAACCCTGTAGTAATCATCACCAAATTACAGAGCGGGCACGGAGTGTGCCGAGGGGCCCAAAAATGTTCTCTTCACCTCATAGTGAAAATGTCGCAGTTTTTAAATTAATTTCTTGCAATTCTACTCATTTTGCCATGGGGCGGAGAGAATTCTTCAGTTTCAAAGGTAATATCTTTCAATTCTACACATTTTGCCATAGGGTGGACAGAAATGTTTTTAATAGGATATCTGAGTGAGAGTGACTAACAAAATCAATGGGGCCCCTCCGGTCGGTAATTCGACCATGATTACTACAAGTTTACATAGCTGGCTAGAATAGTTTACCAATCTAAAAAACTTTAGCTGACATGGGCTAATTGAGTGACTGTAAGAGACTGACATAAGAGACAAACTGCTGATGCACAACCACATTTTCGAAATTGCACCTTGTGTATTCTACTATTCTAACTCTCAACAGTAGGTTGAGAACCCGACTGAGTTCCTATTTAAATTTGTATATATATATATATATATATACAGTACCAGTCAAAAGTTTGGACACACCTACTCATTCAAGGGTTAGTCTTTATTTTTACTATTTTCTACTTTGTAGAATAATAGTGAAGACATCAAAACTATGAAATAACACATATGGAATCATGTAGTAACCAAAAAAGTGTTAAACAAATCAAAATATATTTTAAATTTGAGATTCTTCAAAGTAGCCACCCTTTGCCTTGATGACAGCTTTGCACACTCCGACTCATCCCAAACCATCTGAATTGGGTTGAGGTCGGGGGATTGTGGAGGCCAGGTCATCTGATGCAGCACTCCATCACTCTCCTTCTTGGTAAAATAGCCTTTACACAGCCTGGAGGTGTGTTGGGTCATTGTCCTGTTGAAAAACAAATGATAGTCCCATTAAGCACAAACCAGATGGGATGGCATATCGCTGCAGAATGCTGTGGTAGCCATGCTGGTTAAGTGTGCCTTGAATTCTAAACAAATTACAGACAGTGTCACCAGCAAAGCACCCCCACACCAGTCCTCATGAGAGCCAGTTTCATCATAGCGCTTGATGGTTTTTGCGACTGCACTTGAAGAAACTTTCAAAGTTCTTGACATTTTCCGGATTGTCTGATCTTCATGTCTTAAAGTAATTATGGACTGTCATTTCTCTTTGCTTATTTGAGCTGTTCTTGCCATAATATGGACTTGGTCTTTTACGAAATAGGGCTATCTTCTGTATACCCCCCTTACCTTGTCACAACACAACTGATTGTCTCAAACGCATTAAGAAGGAAAGACATTCCACAAATGAACTTTTAAGAAGGCACACATGTTAATTGAAATGCATTCCAGGTGACTACCTCATGAAACTGGTTGAGAGAATGCCAAGTGTGCAAAGCTGTCATCAAGGCAAAGGGTGGCTATTTGAAGAATCTGAAATATAAAATATATTTTGATTTGTTTAAAACGTTTTTGGTTACTACATGATTCCATGTGTGTTATTTCATAGTTTTGATGTCTTCAATATTATTCTACAATGTAAAAAATAGTAAAAATAAAGAAAAACAATTGACTGAATAGGTGTCAACTTTTATTCGAGCTGACTGTGGTTCAAGTAAATCCAATGTATTTTTGTCAAAACATGATTACAAGGAAGCTAGGATTGTCAGGTCAAGGATGTATATTAGTTATACTACATGAGTACATTTTACATGTTGCTTTGGATTGCATTCAAAAGTATTATAAGATGAGATTGTTGACAGAAAACACATATTTTATGCACCAGTTAATTGTTGTCTAAGACCAGTAAGAGTACGGCTTAGAGGAGGTGAATTCTAAACGACCATTGTGTACATAAGGATCTTGACCAACTGCAAAGTACTGGTATGTCATGTTTGCTAAGATATTACTCAGCATTATTTTCTGCAAAGACCATGAATGTTATACCACATAATTGATGAACAATCTCTTAAGTGTTGCATCATGTGAATGTAATTTTCCTCTTATCTTTTACAGTATGCTATGATTTTTTGTTTGTGTTCATTCGTCAAGGCAATCAACCAAAGCCTTCTCTGATGTAAGTTATACAACTATGTTGTCCATGTAAATGTTAACTCAAGGTATGAGTTCTGTGGTAGAGAAAGTACATGGTCTAGTCTGGGCTGCTATACACACATCCATCCGGCATACCAAACTAACCCTGACCCAGACCGTGATTTCAGGTGCTTGGTGTAGATATGAAAGAAAGACAGGAAATAAATGCTGATTAGCTTGGCTTTTTCCTCACAAAAGTGTTTTCACTGAGAAGGTGACAATGTTTAGACTTGAGGTCACACTAGAACAAGACCTCGGCTCCAACATTGTATTCTTTTGTATTTAGTAAAAAATTATTCCCAAAGGTTTTATCTACTGTAAGATTATTCCCTGATCACCTAAGAGATTCCATATTTCAGACGACCTCATGTATTTGCCATGTAAAATACTGCCAGGATTGTGTGTTTTTTTTTGGCATGTTTGTCATTGATGTAGTCAATCAAAATGTTAACAGTGCCTAATGCTTGCTATTTAATCTTAATTATTTATTCCACATCCTGTTGCCATGTCTGCTTCCCAAATGGCACACTATCCCCTACGTAGTGCAATAGTTTGGACCAGCTCTGTTCAAAAGTATTGCACAATATAGGAATAGGGTGCCATTTCGGGCACATCCTATGTGTATATCAAATGCCATAGCTACCATATAATGTTGCTTTCGTGAACATTAGTGACGTATCCTTGTATTGATTAGCCTGAATGTCAGTCTGTTTGTGTTTTCATGCCAACTCCTTGTCACTCATTGTCATGCCAAGTGTCATCCACATTGTCTTGGCTTAACATGGACAGCCATGGAGTTGGCAAGAGCACAAACAAATTCGGGACCAGGCTATGTACTTATGAGAACAAAATGTTAAAATAATCTTTCTATTAGCTACATTCTCACCGCTATACCCTCCCACCACGGGGAACATTTTATAAGGTTGCATAACAAACAGTTTTATATATTAGCAACATGCTTTTGAATGATACTTTGTTTAATGTCTGGGTATGTATGTATGTCATGAGATCATGATGAATAAACATGACTTTCAATACATCACCTATTTATGACTCATCTCATCATTGATGAGGCTTGCCCATAAACTCATTTTGAAGGGCACCACCATGGTTGTTTCCAATGCTAATACCAACGACTATTAATAGGTAGATAGAAGAATCCCTAAATGTCTTGTTGCATAATAAACACAAATGGAGAAAAAAAGTCCAAGAGCAAAGATAATACTATCAATGAGATCCCACTACAAGTATGTTTGTTGTTACAGCCTATGTTTTGTTGTTACTGCTGTACAATAGCAATGTTCTCTGATTAAACCTTGGCCTTTTTGCTGGTTCATAGACTCTGTTAAGAGCTCTGGGTTACTTTCCAGATATGTGTCCCAAATCACCCTATTCCCTACATAGTGCACTACTTTTGGGAGCTGAACGTGTTGCTGACTCGGAGACGGGGAGCTGTGGTGATCTGAGCTGACATAGCTGCTCCAAGGCGGAGGCAGCAGCACTAATTGGAAGAGAAGATGCTGTCCAAGAAAGAACCACTGATCAACACTGGATTCACTCTATTTCTCTATATATCCTGATTGTCATATACCCTTATTCTAGCATTTGGGATATGAGAGGATGGGATATGGGAATTGTGAATGAGTGGGTTTAATCATGTCTTCAAAAGGAGAATCTGTTCATTATGGCAAACTGTTTAGTCAAAATATCTGTATCAAAACTTTGATGAAGAATGAGAGGCCTCAGGCTAATGCCATTACTACGCATAGATTTGAGCCACAGATGGAGCTCTAAAAGTTATTTTGTTATACTTCTTTCTCAAAGCTGTTAAGAAACCTCCTTACAGCTTGAGTGAACCTTCCACACCTCCCACATTACTGGCTACACTAATGGATTGTATTGAGCAGCAGTGACCACACAAGGCTCCTCTGGAATGATTGCAAACAAATGCAAGGGAAAATATGAGGGAGGTGATAAATACCATCACTGAAGCTTATCTGCACTAGAGGTAAAATGTTACATGGATTACCACGAATATGCATGTTTTATTTCATCTTCTCAAACTACAATGAACAAACATATAAATGCAACATGTAAAGTGTTGGTTCCATGTTTCATGAGCTGAAATAAAAAATCCCAGAAATGTTCCATACACACAAAAAGCTTATTTCTCTCAATTTGTGCACACATTTGTTTACATCCCTGTTAGTGAGCATTTCTCCTTTGCCAAGATAATCCATCCACCTGACAGTTGTGGCATATCAAGAACCTGATTAAACAGCATGATCATTACACAGGTGCACCTTGTTCTGGGGACAATAAAAGGCCACTTTAATATGTGCAGTTTTGTCATACAACACAATGCCACAGATGTCTCAAATTTTGTGGGAGTGTGCAATTGGCATGCTGACTGCAGGAATGTTCACCAGAGCTGGTTCCAGATAATTTAATGTTCATTTTGCTACCATAAGCTGCCCACATCCAACCGGCCTCACAACCGCAGACCATGTGTAACCACACCAGTCCAGGACCTCCACATCCGGCCAGGACCTCCAAACTCATTCTGATTGGCTAGATCTGGCTCCCCAGTGGGTGGGCCTCTGCCCTCCCAGGCCCACCCATGGCTGCAGCCCTGCCCAGTCATGTGAAATCCAATGAATGTATTTCAATTGACAGATTTTCTTATATAAACTGTAACTCAGTAAAGTTTTTGAAATTGTTGCATGTTGCGTTTATATTTTTATTCAGTATAAAAATCTAATCCACTGACACAATTTCCCCTTACTTAGACAGTTGATACTCAACTGCAAGACAAGTTTGCTTCACTAAGAAAGT